CCCGCCTTTTTTGTTTACTTAAACACAAACAGGATCACACTATATGCATAATGACAGCTCTTGATCTTGAGTCCCTCCCTTAATAGATTATGGGCCTCCTTTCACACCTATGTATACAGATTTACAACACTCTGGTACTCCCTTTGATAAATGTATCCATATAATAACCATTTCCCTACTAGCTACTGTTTTTCTCTATTACTGATACTGTAGCTATGACCATTTTACTCCTAACAGCTCAGACACTAAAGTTATCCTGTATTATTAACACAAGCCTTAGATTTAAAATAAAGTAGAAGTGCTTTCCCAACCTTCGCATGAGCTGCTCCCTTGGCTGGGAAGGTACTTCCTGGCCTTTGCTCATCCTTAGTCTCAGTTTAAATGACTTCCTCAGAGAGAACTACTCTGAATACACCACCATTACTCCACTCTAAATGAGGCATTTTATGCTCTCATAATACTTGCTGTTTTTCCATTCTAGCACTCACTTCACTTTCTGATGATACTAATGTTAAAGTCCGTCAGCTCCACTCAATGAAACTCCACAGGGAGAGGGACCCAGCACAAAGCCTGTTATCAAGGGACCAGACTATACCTCCCTTGTAGATAGAAACTCCTCCCTTTACTGGCTATGTTCTAAAGGAGATCAACTGCTCCACCACAAAATCACATGCTCCACAATTTTCAACAGCAGAAAGGACAATTTGTTTAAAATGACAACTTCCAATGCTGACAGGCCATGGGCAAACAGGCTGCTCATACCCTGTTGGGAAAGGTCTGAAATGGTACCATCTTCCTGGGGGGGAATGTGGCCACATACATGACCGTGCAATTCCACCTCTAGAACTGTGGCTCACAAAAATAGACACAGACATACACAAAGATTTAACTACAACAATGTTCTTCGGGATGTATTTTATAACAGGAAAACCTGCAAACAACCTAAATAATTATGCCTCTGTTGAAAAAAATAAACCGGTATGTGCACACAATAGAACACTTTGCAGCCATTAAAAAGTGCTCAGAGCCCTGGCCAGTGTGGCCCCGTGGTTAGAGCGTCAGCCCATGCATGGAAGGGTTGTGGTTTGATTCCCGGTCAAGGGCACGTACCTGGGCTTGGATCCCTGCCCCGGATAGGGACTAGTGCAGGAGGCAACCAGTTGATG